CCCTGACTTAAAGGACAGCTGAGAGCCTGGTGCCCGGGTGTCCCCGGGGTCAGGGACTCGGGCAGCGCAGCCCTCCCGCCAGACTCTTGAGGCCACACCTGGCAGAAGCCAGGCCAGGTCGGAGGCGGGGCCGGGGGGGCTGGGCTCTTGGCCTCCCCAGGCAGGCAGAAGATCTCAGGGGAAGCAGGACCTCAAAGCGCTCTAGGAACAGCTCAGGAACCAACGGAAATGGAACAAGTTAAACTCTCCGGGGCTCACAGAGCTCTTACCTCACGGGGCGCTCACAGGGCAGTGAGACCTCACCTGCTCACAAGGCTTTCAATAAAATGACATCGTTCAAAAGGGTGGGTCCAAGCGTGGGGGACAAGGGTGTCAGGAAGCCCATAGCCTGTGGCTCAGAAGAGCATGGATCATGGTTTCCATCAGGGAACTGGTGACACAGGGGAGGCTTGGCAGTGTCTGGGGGATGTCCCACTGTCCCACTGGGCTGGGGAGGGAGGGTGTGACCAGCGCTGAGCAGGAGGAGGCTGGGGATGCTGGGAAATATCCCACAGTGCCCAGGAGAGGCCCGCACGGCTGAGAACTGTGGCACACAAGGACCCACAGAGCTGCCCTTGAGATGCCCCATTATAAATGGGAGAACATTTCCCCTGAAGTGGTGGTCACGGACATTGCGTGTTGAGTACATGGGAGGCCTTTACACTGCCTTGATTACACCTGTCTATGTTGAAATTTTCTGTGATAAAGCATCTTAAAGATGCCAGAAGAGCACCTTACAAAGTGATATGGGCTGTGCTGATTCCACTCACAAGTGTTGGTGACCGAATTTTGATTAAAGTTAGGATTGAAGAAATGCAAATCAGAGCTCCTTTTAGAGTGCATCTCACCCCACTCAGAGTGCTGTCATCAAAAATACAAAAAGTAATACATGCCTTTGAGGCAATGCAGGAAAGGAAGACTTGTACACTGCCAGTAGGAGTATAAATCATTACAGCCACTAGAGAAATCCTAAGAAAACTAAAATTAGAGCTACCATTTGATCCACTTCTACCATATTTTGTGAAGCCCTTAGGTTGTAATACTATAGAGATACCTGCTTGCCCACACCCACTGCAGCCCAAGTCACAATGGCCAAGACATGGAACCAGCCCAGGTACCCAGTGGATAGAGAAAATGTAGTCTATATCCACAATGGAGTATCATTCAGTTGCAAGGGATAATGAGATTCTGTCATTTGCAAGAAAATGCAACATGGTGGCCTGGAGACCACCATGTTGAGCAAAGTGAATTAGATTCAGAAAGATTAGTACCACACTTTCTCTCTAATATGTGGAGTCTAAAAAAGATGAAAGAAAGCAGCAAGGAGACTGTTATTAGACAAGAAGAAGGAATAAGATGGAGGGAGAGGCTGTAGAGGCAGGTGATGGGGCATAGATATGAGCAAAATATACACATGGAAACTCCCTTCCAACAATGTGATCTGGAAAAGTTCAGGGAAAATGGGTTCTAGGGGGTGAAATGATAAAAGTATGTCATGCACAGGTCAGTCAACATGAAACCTGTTAATCTGCATAATTGATTTAAAAATGACTAAAAAAAGTACAGAGGATATTTTCTGCTATGATGTTCAAATTAACAAAATGTGTGAAACTATCAATCTGATTATTTGCACATACAACATGTTTACAAATGAAAAAAATAAACTTAGAATTGAAAGAAGATGCCATAAATTTCAAGTGATGACCAATAAGAAAACTATTAGACACTTTAAGATTCAAAGACAAGATTGATACAATTGGTTTTGCAGTAAAAATGCTGAACTTACCGTTATCACAAGAAAGATGAGCAAATATAGGAAAGCTCTAGATATTTCAGTAAAACTTGTATGTGTTCTGCTGTGTGCTTTCATGAAGTTGAATTTCTGTGAAAGTCTGTCAGACAAAACAGTTCCCATATTGAAAGATGCAGTTTAATTTTTTTTTCTTGTACCAGGGATCGAACTTGGGTCCTTGCGCTTGCAAGGCAAGCGACGGAACCACTGAGCTAAATCCCCAGCTACAGTTTAATTTTTAACGTGTGTAACAAACATTTGTCGTAGGAATCTACATTTGTTAAAATATTTTTGGTGTAAAACTGTGCTTGCTCCTCTAAGCCTATAGATTGTGTTTTCCACAGAAGTTGATTTTACTTCCCAACCTGGTGAGGATTAACCATTCACTTGGATCTTGTCTCTTCGGTCCAGTTACATCCCACCAATGCTTTCATTTACAGGAGGCTGGGAAGAGGATGCCTGGCTTCCCATGATAGAAACCCAGTCATGAAGGTTTGGGGGGATGACAGAGATAGTCCACATCTTGGTTGGGACGTTGCTGCCCCAGATATGCAAAATTGTCAAAAATCATTAGACTGAACACTTAAGGTCTTTACATGTCCTTGGATGTAAATCTTACCTGAATGAAAAACTAAAGCCACAATGGAGGGGAACCTCTGGTCTGGACGTCAGAGTATCTGAATTTGTGCCAGGGATGGTGCTTGATTTATCTCACAGCCAATAGCCATTGTCACCCAACACTTGTTTCCTCCTTCTTTCTTCCATCATATTAGAACCCTTGAGGTTTTCATCTGAGCAGATGGCCACCTGCAATAAAAATTATGCAACAGTCTCCCTTCCAATGGCAAGGGAGGAAATATGCCCTTATTTTGTCATTCCCGATTTCCTTATGACAGGAAAGCCGCCATGTCAGCGGAGCACCAGCAGCCACTTGGGGCCCCGAGGCAAACACATGAAGGATAAAGATATAATATTGCCATCACTTTGATATCCTTTATTCATTCAGCAGCAATAGAGTGTCTACCATCTGTCCCTCATCATCCCAACTGCAAAGGTCCACGGAAAAGGGCACAGACACAGGAGGAATAATGAACTGAGGGTGGCAGTTCAACCTGACCCAGGAGTGCTTGGTCAGCACACATGAAAACATATTATTTGAACTCGTGGCCCTTTCTCTGGAAATAAATCCAAGAATGAACACAAGTAGGAAAGGCAATAGATTGAATTTAAACCACCATGCATAAAACTCTTGATATTTGATATTTCCAAAACACCAAACTTCAAATTACACAAGATTCTCCCTCCTCCCTCAAATGCATTGTTAATGGCAGAATCAGTAAACATGAGAGCTATACCAAGTATGATTAAAATATAAGGTGAATGTTTAAAATTTTAAAAAATTATTACATTAAAGACACATTAGCACCAACACCCCTCAGTGTACTCCTCCCTCTTTGGACACACTTGTCCCATCATTCCTGCCACTCTCTGAAGCAGTTCTGGAAGGCCTCTTTTGTGTTTTTATGAAGTGTGATAAAAAATATGGTGAATGCTGCTGTGAGTGCCATCTAATGGAAAGGCAGAGTCCGAAAACATCACAGCGTGTCCTCATCCGCCTTATTCACTGGATCTGGCACCGTGCAACCTCTGAGTCTTCCCCAGTGTCAAAATCAGTGTGAAGGGAAACATTTTGAATTGATCCAGGACACTGAAACAGGCAGTTCAGAGCAACCAGCCTCACCAAAGAGGTCTTCCAGAACTGCTTCAGAAAGTGGCAAGAACAATGGGATAAATGTGTGCAAAGGGGGATTCATGGAAATAAAAATTTTAAATTTAAGCATTCACTGTATTTTTCACTCATTACCTCTTTCATGTTATTAAGGGTAAATTGAGTCATGTTCCAGATGAACCAAAAGATAAACAAATTCTTTGAGCAGTAATTCTCTTACATTAGCAAACTGAAAATTGGGCAAATTTATTTTCACCGAACTGGCCCAGAACTTGGGGTACAAGGATACACATGCAGACAAGACCCATTCTCTGCCTCCAAGGACTCCAAGGGCGGTTTGGTTCCATTTCACAGCTCTGAGGCATCACACCCTGGGCCTCCCTTTCCACCCTACTCCCCATGTCCACCAGAGGGGGACTGAACAGGGCCCATTCCCAGGAAAACCGACATCCCTCAAATTTCCATCATGGGCAAACTTTCTCTGAAAAAGGTTAGATAGTAAGTATTTTAGGGTTTGCAAACTACAAAGTCTCTGTCACAACTACTCAACTCTGCCACTGTAGCATAGAAACAGACAGAGATAGCATGCAAAATATAGGCATGGAGCCCATCCAAGGAAGCTTTACTACAGACACCAACAGTTGAATTGCATGTAACTCTTGTGTTCCACAAGATAATGACTCCATTTTTCCTCATTGTTCAAAAGCCTACAGCCATTCTTATCCCCAGGCCCCACAGGGACCTGTGGGGTGGATCTGCATGGGCCCACTGTTCAGCAGGTTGAATCTTCTTTGCAACCAAATGCATTCATAACCACACCACTCACTGATTCAAAGCACACGTCACCATGCTCTGGAAAAAGAAGCTTTCATAAAATTATGCTGTTCAGGATTCTTGTATTTCACCTCCCAAAGACATCTGCATTCCAAACACACACTTTCTCTCATGGAGGAAACCTCCTCCCATGGAATTTCAGACATTAGAATCAGGCCAACGGGAGGAGGTGGCCAATGAGATGAAGAACCCTTCCAGGGACTCCCCAAGATCTGAGTGAGTGAGGAGACCACAGCAACATGGGAACCTTTGTCTCCAAGTGGTGTGGTCTTTCCACAGAGCACAACATGCCAATACCAGAGGCGATGTGAAGGACACACAGCTGAAAAGTGATGGGGGATTCCCTTCCAGCGATCCATCCAGAATTCTATACCTTGCACTACAGACAGTTGGAGAAGAGATGGAAAGTACCCCGATTTGAGCCCACTCCAAAACAGTGACAACAATGACAAGGCTTGATACGATACCACGGAATTAAAGTGGATCGATGAAAACAAAACAGAAAACCATATAGAGGTCATCTTTTGCTCTATTCCTTCACAGCTGACTACAGGCAGATCACATTTTTAGTCATTCTATGCAATTTTGTCTTACATATTTTCATTTTTATTTCACCATGAAGTTCACAGTCTTGCCCCACAACTTCCTCATGGCGATTTTCACCTCCGCATTTCTGAGTGTGTAGATGATGGGGTTCAGCATGGGAGTGATGACTGTGTAGAACACAGCCACCAGCTTATCTTCGGTGTAGGTGGAGGCAGGACGCAAGTAGAGGAAGATGGCAGGTCCAAAAAACAAGATGACCACCGTGATGTGAGAGGCACAGGTGGAGAGGGCCTTGCGCCTCCCCTCTGCAGAATGGTTCCTCAGGCTGACCAGGATGACGATGTAGGAGCACACCAAGAAGAGGAAGGAGAACACAGAGAATAATCCACTGTTGACAAACATAATAATTCCTACCATAAAAGTGTCAGTGCAGACAATCTTGAATAAGGGGTGGAGGTCACAGAAGTAGTGGTCAATCACATTGGGACCACAGAAGGGCAATGGGATGGTGATGAAAATCTGAATTATGGAATGAAGAAAGCCCCCCAGCCAGGACCCGGCCACCAGGTGGTGACACACAGCTCGGCTCATGATGGTTGTGTAGTAAAGGGGCTTGCAGATGGCCACGTAGCGGTCATAGGCCATCACCGTGAGCAGGAGGGTCTCGGTGACCCCAAAGAAGTGGAAGAAGAATATCTGAGCCAGGCAGCCCTTGAAGGAGATGGTTTTAACCTTGGCGAGCAGATCCGCGATGAACTTAGGCACCACAGTGGAGGAGTAACAGATCTCCACCAGGGACAGGTAGCCCAGGAAGAAGTACATGGGGGAGCGCAGGCTCTGACTGACACTGAC